TGAGTTTGCTTTCCTGCCACTTTTGACGTTGCCTATACAAAGCCTGCTTTACAACATCGTCTGATGTGAGCAAAAATGAAGTTCCTTGTGTAGCATCAGTTTCGTAAAGCGTAGATGAGCATGCTGTTGTCTCATTTAAATAATAACTCGTAATAAGATATTTACTGAGGAAACAAGGTGAAAATAAAGTTGTGTCTGTAAATTACTGGCCAAAGACCATTTTCTAGATGACATATAGAAACTGTAAGGAAATGTAATCTATTTGGAGTCCTTTTGTACAGGTTAATGGATTTTAAGTTTTCTTTACAATTCTCAAAAAATGTCTGTAGCAATAAAGAGATACAAGCTGTTTCCATATCTCTACTGAATTTTTAAAAGGAAAAGCAAAGAGTTCTTAAGAATCAAAAAAGATACCTGAAATTATGATTGTAAATATCACTATCAATCAATTAGTGATATCTGAAATAAATGGGCCTAAAAGAAAGCAATATAGAAATGAAATAAAATACAACTAATACACCCAAAATTGTAAAATTGTTTTAAGAAGAGCCTTTCTCATTACAGCTGAATGTGATTTTCCAGATAAAGGCATTGTAATATGACCCTGTGTGCTGTTCTGTGTGTACAATAAAGCAAGCAAAATTAATCCCTTCCCCTGATGACCTCTAGAAATGAAAACCCATTATAGTAATAATATTTGTACTTAGGCCTTGATGTTTTTGTGCTGAATCTGAATGCCATGAAATGATTGTATACAGTGGCTGATGAGGACACATGTACAGATAAATACATAAATAATCCTCTTTATATAGGTGCAAGGTGACTTTTTAGATCTGGTATGGAAACTAATTGAAGTCTAATAAAACTGGTAATCATTTTCTTTACTGCTAAGGCCTGAATCTTATTATGTTGAAAGGTCTATTAGGAATGTTTCCCTATTTAACATGGAATGTATGTAACTGGATCTTGTGCACAATTTTCCTGTTTGTAGAACTTGAATTAAGCATTGAAATTCCTGCCTAAGATACTGGTTTTGGTGTTTGCCAAAGTATATATGGTATCAAATACTGTAATACATCTTTGTTGCCAGTCTGCGGTTCGGTTAGCAAACCCCACTTAAAGGGTAAAAGATCTTTTAAAAAACAACATTATTTAGCTTGGAACAAGAATCAATACTCCATATGATATGGTAATGAAACACAGACTTTGCAACATATTGATGGACAGTGAGAAAGTGTGTGTGGTGAGAGGAGTGGGTGTATTTGTGTGCATGTTGGAGGGACCACAATAGTATTAATAGCCTGTAAAGGAGGGTTCTGACATTTGGTAAACACATGAGCATGACACAGAGTACAATAAGGAACTACAGTTCAGAAACAATGATACATACATTACTCTGGAAGGCTATTAAGTACATGCAAACTTTCTTCTGTCAACATTTGTATTTTCACAGGATGTAGTAGCAAAACGTTAGCCTTATGGAAAAGGAGGTCAAAAAAGATATCCACATATTATTTTACTATTTTGCTTTACTTTTAATATTTGTGTATCTTTCTGATGTGGGCCATATATCTAAGGTGGCTGAGTTTTGCAGAGTCTGGCTTTCTATTTGTCTAAGTGGTAATAAATTCCCATTGATCAGAGCTTAGTGGAAATTAGAACACCCTCCATGAGCCTCAGTTGGGGAGGCTGCTCCCAGCAGACTCTCACTCACATTAAAAGCCCACAGGAATGTTTCAGGATGGTTGGTGTTGCTGCATATTACTTCACAATGTCAATACCAGAAGGACTATTGATTTGGACCACTTTCTTTAAATAAAAAAAAAAAAATTTAAAAAAATAAGTGTTTGAAAGCAATAAAACTGGTGCAAAAATACTACCTTGTCTCTTTTTCATAGGCTGTTCATCAGGTTGGGAAAGCCTTGAATTACATTGTAATTATTTTTAAAAAACATATTCATTGAACTTTCAATATATTGATTGTAAAGGCTTATAGTTGTGACTTCAGCTAAAGAATAAAACTTTAATTTATTAATTTCCTTTTATTTTAGATTAAGATTAGGGGGATTTCTTTTAAGCAATGTGTATAGGGGTTTTGAAGAGGGTGACCTGAGAAAGATACAGATACACACAAGACTTGTCAGTCTTTCAAACCTGTACTACTCAGTGTCAGTCAAGCAGCACTGGCAGAAGAGGTGTGAAGAGGTCTCTCTCTAATGCTGATTTCCATACCGTTGTCTGTAGACTGCTAAAAAGTGAGAGAGAAAAAAGCTAAGAAAGCAAAAAGACAAACAGATACGAATTGGAAGGCAATATATGCTATGCTAGTATCTGCACACATGAAACTCTTTATAATTAGCAAATACCTAAGTCAGCTGTTTAAATCCATATTATAAGGAAATAGAAGTCAAGATACATCTGTATGAAATAAAGATTGCCAATAAAGACTGTGTGATTTGGTTTCAGAGGTGGTTCCTTTTTTTCTGAAGAGGTTAGGAAGGCTGGAACTCAGCCATATGTCTAAGCGTACCATATGTCAGGAAGGATCTGTCTTCTCTATATCAGCAGCTTATTACCTAATAGCTTTTACCTTAATACCTTTTCAGTATTTTCACCCAGATTGTTTCCCATCCCTTATTTTGGGTTCAATTTTCCTTTGCAAGATCCTTCAGGATCCTTCCTGATATTTCCTCATCCTTGCATATATGAGTTACTGTCAGTGAATGACGAAGCCTGTTGAAGGCATGCAACTCCTTAGGCTGGCTGGAAATGCACAACTCTACTTCTCCCTGGGCATTTCTCTTCAGCATCCTTCTGGAGCTCTACTACAGCAAGGATCCGTTTCAAAATCCTAGTACTACTCTATGAAAATAATGCAACTTTCTCTTCTAGTTCAAAATGTGTATTTTTTTTCACGAATGGCATCAGTTATGCAGAGTCAGTTAAATGAACACTTGTATTCAAATAATTTACTGATTATGCAAAACAACTGTGCTTGTTACGATACACATTCAGTGCAGAAAATTGCTCTGTTAGTTGGGCTGCTTTTCCCGTCACAATGAAACATACATCTGCTTACAGCTAAAAGTCCAAGGGCCTGATTTACTAAAAATTAGTGATCCATCAGATTGATGGGCAATCTGCACTCTTGGTGCCTTGAAATTTCTTGCATCAGTCACCAGATCATGATTTACTAATAGGGTTTCAGGGCTTGCAAAATAGCACAACTCTAACCACATATTAATATTTAATCTGGCATTTTAAGTGCACCTAACAAAAGACCCCAGAGCTGCTGACAGGACCCTAAATTGTGAATTTCTTTAAAAGGAACTGAGTATTTCCATAGTGGTTTCATGTGGAAATCTGAAATAAAAAGAAATACATGAGTTAAGCCCTGCTCATGAACTTACAAGCCTCTGAGTATATTTTCTTGAAAAACTGTTTATAGTCTGGGGTTTTTTTGTAATCTAGCTTCATTAGCATATGACAGAGCATTCTTTGGCCGTTTCACTGTCCATAGATCATGATGGAAGAGAAATTTCGAAACTAATTTCTATATTGTGTGCAATTGAACAATCTGTTCTTTAGACACTTAATCCACTTGGAAACTCTAGAAAGCTACTAAATGAAGGTAAAAAATAACGTATAAATCACAAAGGTCTCTTTATTACCATGAAATTTAGTAATTGAATCTGCATAAACTTAGTAAATTAGGCCCTCTGTGTTTTGTATAGCATTTTTAAGTAACCAAGATAGGCAAGAAGCTGAATTACATAGCGATAGTGTTTCTACCATTTCACAGCCTAAATAGAGCTGTAGAGTGACTTAATAAGCAACTTCTGCTGCTGCTGTCAGATGAATATTCTAATTTTACAAAATGTATATAGTGCATGTCTAGAAAAGGGTTTATTTGTGTCTTCCATTTTCATATGCCATAATTTATGAAAGATGTTCCCAACACCACCTGTAATAACAGAATGTTTATTAGTGTGCAAATGAGGGTTATAAATGATGCTGCTTATCTATGGAACAAAACACAAAAGACAACTTATTAGCAAAAGACAAATTGCTCAGCAAGTTTCAATGAGCCGCTATGTTTGTCATGAAAAAAACCTTTTATTTGCACAGATCAATGTTTTTATAATCCATTTAAAATAATACACTTGCCACTAGGTGGCTATTTCTGATCAGATCATTTTACCATTTTAATTACATTTTTAATATCCTGGTTGCATAAACAAAGATAAATTACAAACCTTGCACAATCTGGCTGCTAGCTCAGGCACAATCTGTAATAATATCAGCTTTTGTTTGTGCCTCCTCTAATTAGATTCTGAAATCTAGGCTTTATCAATCAATAATTTTAATTTCAGAATTGCCTTTTGATCTTACATTTCATGTTTGTTTGTAGAAAATGATCAGTAGGGCAAAGCTGATAATTTATGCAGAAACAATCTCTCAGCAGAGTTACAAGCACATTCCTAGCCATCAACACAACCCGGCAGACTAAGCTTGACACAGGTCTAATTAGCATGCAGATATGTGTCGCCTCATTGGCAATTCAAATTGCTTTTTTATAATGTACCTCAAATTGTGCTACTCAAACATTGTATTTGATTTCCAAAGCCCCCTGGGCATCCCATAATGTCTCCCTTCATCCTGGGTATGAAGCATTTATTGAACAATCTGCTTCGACTCTGGCTATCTTTTCGAAAGCACCCAAACATCATATCCGTGGGACCAGGTTTTCCTCCTTGTCAGACAGCAACTTGTTCTTCTGCAGAGCGGCGGGTGCCACGTCCGCAGGTTCCGCGATGATATGTTACCTTGCGAGCTCCTGCTTCCGCAGTGGCTGCTCTATAGAGGGCTTCATTCCTGTGCCACTCATCTAAAAAGGGGGAGGATGTCTACAGAGCACACATTAATATGCGGCACATAGCCACGTCTCTGAATGCCAGCCTTCCATTCTTCATTAAACAAAATGGCTGGATTGCAGTGATTGTTTTCCCCTCCACGCGCGCGCGCGCGCACAGGCACACACACCACGCATGCAGGCACATACCCACACACCCCCCACTCTGGCTTTCTCTCTTCTTCTCCCTCATGCACACGCACTCACTTTCATACACACACACACACACACACAAACACACACACACACACACATGCACACGACGTTCCCTGCCGTAGTGTGTGGTTGTCGGTGCAGCGAGTTACGTGTGAAAAGTTGTCTGCGGCATGTGTGACACGCGAGGAGATTCCTGCCAACGTCAGGGCCCTTTTTTGCCATGCAGCAACAAGTGGCAGAATCAATGGTGTACAGTTATTCAGCAATGTAATTCATTTCACTGGCTTTGGCTCCCAGCCAGATCCGCCATCTGTCTCTTGCTCTCCCTCTCTCTCTCTCGCCTGAATTTGTCCTACATTTCGTAATGTTACGTGCTTACCATCCTTATTCTATGCCAGAGGTACAACACAAGCCTCACCCCCGTTCCAGCGTGGAGTTCTGTGAGTTCGGTGGCACTTTGGATATTCCACTTCAGTGCCATAGGAAGAAAGGGGTAAGCAAAAAACAGAGGGATAGCTGCAAGGAGAACGGTGCTCTTCTATCTGAAAGCCAGTGCCTCCGCTTTTTATTTAAAGCATTGATATGGATCTGTCTCACATGGGAACTTTCTCTGCTTCGTTAGAGTATCTTCGTTTTCTTTATTGGATGCTGGCACTGTACGCCACTGCACAGCTCTGTGGAATGCCTGCTGTTGGATACTTGCAGATCCCTGCCACCAAGCAACCTCCTGCATTGGAAATCGGGTGACTACTCCAGGATCTTATGCGTGCTTGCTGTTTGAAGCTGCAGAAAAGTGAATAATCAATTAAGTATTGATTTCTTGTAAGATTTGGTAAATTTCAAAGGCAAGACAAAGAGGATGGCTTAAGGAAAGCACTGCAGGGACTTGGCGTAAATTAGACAACTAACAGCAGTGCAGAATAAAATAACACCTCAACTGAATATTTCCTTGGAAGAATTAGCACTAGCTATTGGAAGACGATGGTGGATTTAATCAAGACGGCAAGCACGCTTGAGTTTTAACCGTGAACCTGAAAGAGGAGCTAATTATAACCACCTTTTTATATGGAGCTAATTTGACTGAATGGATGCAAATGTGCTTTATTTATGGATGAAGAAGCAAGCCTTACAGCATTGACTTTGGGATCATCGCATATGCTAAGCTTTACAGCTTCTCTAAAAGTCAAGCCTACAGTACATTTTTATTTACTGAGAAGGTATTTATATGTAAGCATAAGCTAGCCGTACAAAAGATTCATCAGAACAATGTACTGTGGCACTGAGGATCTAATTATAATTTTGCAGCATTTCATGTTTTCTCTAATTTGGTGCTTTTCAACCCTTGCTTGTGATGGGCTATAAATGGGACAATAAATGTATGATTTAAACTATTGTGATTTTCATTGTATAGGTTATTAATCGGAGTGTAGTTTTCTTAACGTGTTTCTGAATTATTCAGCAGTAATTTATAATGAAAGAAGCAGAAATGGTGGGGTGGTTTTAAATTCATTTATAATCTTCTTACAGATCTAAATGTACAGGTTCTACCAGCCGATGAGCTCTGTAATTATGAAAGAATGTTAAAATTTTCAGATAAATGGGGCACTGACTTTACAATGGGCACAATATTGTATAATCATTAAAAGGAGGATTGTTATGTTTTGACTCTGTGGAGAATGGTCTTGGTTAGTTAACTCCTTCTATGCTGATAATGGTAAGCAAATGTACCTTATATGAGAAAATAGGGGGAGAATGTAATGCACTAGTTTGATGTTTTACTAGTCTAAAATCTTAGCATATTTTTTTCCATTTATTTCCATTTCTGTTACTTTTCTTTTCCCTATTTGCTTGTCTGGTTTCTGTCGAGGGTTTTTTTTTCCCTCCTGTCTTGCAATCTACATTCCCTGAGCAACCACAGGAACCAAGTTACATTAAGCTTCAACACAAAGACGATGTAAGAATAATGAATCCTCATTTGCATCGACATTTGTATTCAGATTTGCCAGGCTATAAACTTGGCAGATCAAGCGGAATATTAAGTAGAGGCTTCCATGGTAAATTGCGACTCTTGCAATTGCTGAGTCGTTTTTCCTATTTTTTGCATGAGTGTGTGTGCGCGTACGTGTGTGTATGTGTGTGTGCATGTGTGTAAATGTGTATGTATGTGCATATCTGTACTGGCAGGTGAAGTCTCATGACTACTTGATTTCTGAGAGGTACATTGGCCCTCTTTCTCTTTCAGTATATGATGTCAGTTTATGCAAAATGAAGCAGGAATACACCAGCAGTAAGCATTTTAGCTAAAGATACAGTGTAACAAATGAATAAGGTATTCACTCCCTTTTCTAGAGACTGTGTGAAAGAATTCTTTAGGCAAATGGATAAAGACTATTGCAAAAACACATAGATCTTTTGTATCAGTTGGAGGTTTGATTTCACTGCAGGTAGTGTTCAAATCACAAACTCTGAGTTAGCATTAAACCTATCTGCTTCATAACATGATACAGTCTTTGATTTGCGGTGGTGCTGCACGTATGCATGTATGATTTCATTAAAAATTTGGGCATTGGTGTACCTACCATCAGGTGCTTTGGTTTGGTTGGACTGTCTCCAGCTTTACAGTAGTACGTGCAAGAGCTAAGTTGACCCTTCTCTTCCAGGGTTGGACATCGAACCTTTTCCTTCACTGACATTTGCTTAAGAAATGGTGGTCCTAAGTGATCTGTTTCCTTAAGAATTCCTCTCTTCTTTCTCTGGATAAACCTTTTTCAAAATCATTAATTGCAAAAGTGGAATATTTACCTTATCATTATCCTTTTTAACTCTGTGTTATTGAAAATAATTTATGCATGAACCTTTGAAACTTTAAGTTTTCCATAACATAGGCTATATTATTTCAGAAGTAGTGAAAAAGTAGTCAACAAGTGCTAAAAATGCTTCAAGACTCACATTTGCTACCTACAGATACTCAAGTAGTTGTCTCAGGACTTCAGCAAAGCCCTCTGGACAGAACTTAAGAGTGTCATTGAATTAGGAGATGTAAGAAATGGTCAGGCATGCAGGAAATCCTTCCAGTGCCTTCTTTTTATACATAGCCCCTCCCTACCACACCCATAAAAACAGACCTAGCAAGTAGAATGTCAGTACAGTCCACAGTGTGTGTTTTCATAGTTTGTAATAGGCTTCTATATTAAGGAGGTACTATTATAGAGAAAAATCCTGAAATTTTTTCCAGTCTTTTCTAAACAAGTTAAGGGACTGAATTTATAAACTTAATCTATGACTTGCCATTTAGCTAATCCATTGAAAAGCAAGTATAATAATATAATGGCCAAACTTGTGGTAAACAATATTATACTGTATAGTGATTGGCTATAATTTCAGCTGAGAAAGTCGAATCAGCTTTGTTTTCTGTAAAAATACACAATCCTCTAATACTGTTTGGATTTACTTTAATTTTGTTTTCACACAGTAATAGGATAATTGGTCATGCAGGGAATGGTCAGTTGTAATGCAGTGTTCACTAAGGGCAAAAGATGATATGCTGCTTATGTAGAACAGTAACCTGTGGTAGGCAAAGACAAATGCACACTGTCTGTTGCAATTTTTGAGAAGCTTTAGAACTTTATTATTTTATTATGGGGGAAAACATTGTACCTGTTGTTTCTTTCCTTTGAAAGAATATTCTGGGCTACATTTCCCAAATCATGCTTAACATAGAAGGGAAAGGTAGAACTTTCAAGGTATGTTTCCATACTTTACTTCCTTATGAACATTGTCTTGATGAAATAATATAAAACTTGGTTGTTTGGGTTAATATATGCCACAAATTGTTTTGGAAATTTAGCCCAAAACAGCTGAAAAAGGGGTCCTTTTATGGAAAAGGAAAAACAAACCAATATCCTTCAGGAAGGATCTCAGAAGTTTTCAAAAGAAAAAAAATCAATTGAAAAGAGTTTTAAATTCTGAATTTATAGACAATAGCAGATTATTAGACTGAAATATTTTTGCTGGACAGTCATTCACTAAGTGAATCCTTTGAAAAATTAATTCCTTGGTTTTTTGTCCGTTTACAGAATTCCCCAATTTCTTGCTGCCTAGGACTATAGAACCCAAAGAAAAGAAAGAGGAACGAAAAGTACTTTAAGCTCCAAATGCATTTATCATATTCACTGACAAAAAGAAAAAAACACCTGGGAAAAAAGGAAGATATGAAACTAATATTTCATGAGAGAAACTCCAATCTGTTCTCTGGCCTTTCAGGTGTACAGTGTTCTTGGGTAAAATATTGGAGTGCTATACATAACAAAAATGTACTGTGTGATGTGTATTCACCATCACTGGAGAGAGTGTAGCACAGTCAGTCTAGGCAGAGCATATGGATGCTTTAGAAGGAAAGCTCAAGGCCTGTTACAGTATTTCAGTCTAGTTCATTGTATTGCTATAAAATTTAAGATTCCAAAACCACAGAGCTCACTACATCTACTAGGGGTCAAATCTGCTGGTCCATAGCATTTAAAGGGAAGCTATCATTTTTTACCATTACTCTTCTGATCCAAGATCCTTTTGTGTAACCTACTGTTGTGATGACTAACATTCAAGTGCTGTATTTCTCACTGGCAGCTTCATTGTCTGTTTCTGTTATTGATGTGGACTTCACCTCTGGACTGAGCTGTAAGTGTTCTGCATCAGGAATATAATTTCCTAAATATTTTTTGTAAGATTTGTGCATAAAACAGCAGTTTGAACTTCAACAATCTAAATGTTTCTGTTGTATAGAAAGTAAACCATTTTCCCTTCATGTTTGTTTTTTTTTGTTTCCCAGACTCAAAGGGGACAGAAATTATTTTTAAAAGAAGCAAATATGCTAACATGCAAACCAGTAGAAAATAGACTGACACTCAGAAGTGGCTTTTGCACTGGCTTTTTATAAATAATAAGAGTAAAATCTTTCTTTCTAAGGTGAAACTTCGACGCCTTATGGTTTCCACAGTGGTATGCCTTTTGAGACATTGCATCTGTAATCTCTGTGCACGTTGCAGTAATTTACAATTAACAATTGAAGTTTTTGTGCAAGATTTTCTAGTTTTGCTGAAGACTTTGCTGGGAGAGTGTAATCCACTGAAATGTGCTATATGCCCTACTTTGGCAATCCAATAAAAAGTTCATGTTTTCCTTAATAAAATAAATATGCTTTCAGTACCAAGAGCTTTCACATGGCAAAGCTTTTAATTTAATTGCCTGGATTGAGTTAGCTATTTTCAGTTTCAAGCAGTCTTTCGATTACTGAAGACAAAATTGTAATAACTATAAATATTGTTAGATAATGAATAAACTGGATATGCACAAAAATCCCTCAGACCTGAGATCCCTTTCTGTGGTTTGTTGCTTATTGAATCTTGTATCAAATAACAGTGCAATCCTGTAATTTGTGTTTATATAGGATCTAGCATAATAAGGCTCCACTCCCGATCAGTATCGTAACATAAATAATCCTAAAAATGCATGTTTTAGAGAATAGACAAGCTTTCCAGAGTGGTTGTTTATTTGCATAATCAGCACTGTCTCATTTAGTGTAGTGGTTACTGCTTTTGGTAAAGTTCTGTGGTCATTAATTGTGCTTTGAATTTCGTTGGGAATTTTGCTTAATGAGAACAGATTTCGATGCATTTTTTCAGCTCTCTGAAAACCACACTGACCTACGCTTCATTATTGTCACAGAGAGTTGCAGAACAAGTAATATGGAAATCACTTTATTCTGCACTAAACTCGGCCAGCTCTAGGGCTGAATTCAACAGTTGGGTAACAAAACTCAGCAACTGAGCACATGAGGAAGACTGAGGAAAGGAGAACCTAATTATTACATTTTAGGTGGTTACAGTACAGAGGGTAGAGCTGGCAGAAAGTCTCTGTTCAATAGAGGAGGGAATACTGATAAAACAAGTACAGGGAGATGAGAAATTAAACATTATTTTTACTGTTAACTTGATGTCAGTAGTTAAAAGAAAGAACAAGAAGCAGAACGCAAATTCCAGTAATTGCAAATTGCAACCAGTTTCTCCTGGATTCATAATTTATGTTGGAACTTGCAGTGAACCACACCACAGAGAAGTGGTCCTAGCCTGCAGAAGATAAATCTAATGACACAGCTCTGGATAAAAAATAAAATTTCCTCAAAAGCACCTTGCAAAATATAAATAAAATGCTGCAAAAGAGAGGTTAAAAAGGGTCCAGTTATGAAAATTGTCTTCTTCATCTTACATTTCTCAAATTCATGTTAACTTTTCCTTGAATTTGTATCCTAACTAGTCAGTAAATTCCCCCCTAAAAATCCTTGCAGCCAGAATGATCTTGGTGAATCTTCAATCCACAGTAAAAATATGGGGATGAACTGGTATGCCACTGATGTCTTTCAGAGTCTTCCTAACGATTAGCAAGACCACTGTAGCTAAAAATTGAGGGGCAGGCTATGGTGAAGCTTTTGGTCAGAAAACTGAGTCAGGAGGGTAAAATGAGAAAAGTGAAGAAGACCTATGTACGTGTTGTTGCATCACAGAAGATGTACTGGGCAGTGCTACCACAAAGAAACTTCCCCCATAGATACATCAGGTAGAAGGAGACAGCAGTCTTCTAGGAAAGTACTAGGAAAACGCAAGAAAATATAGAGCTTTACAGTACACAAAAACATTATTTACAATGTTAAGCAGTCGAATTTTTTTATTAAAAAAAAGACAAAGTACTTTCTGAAATCAACAACTGATTTTTTTATTTTGCTTTCACAGCTTCATAAATTTTCTCACTACTTTGTTTTGCACTTTCAGCAATACTGTGTATGATTTTTTAACTCCTACCATCAAAATTGTTTTCCATTTCTCATACATACTACTTCAAGAACACTTCTTCTTATACATAATGACTAGAGCTGTCTGGACAACCTGCTGAAAGTGTTTCAGAGTTTCTCAGCAGGATGAAAGTTAAAAACAGAAAGAAGTTGTAATCTTGATTATTTGCAGGGAGATCACGAATTGAGGGAGAAAGTTATCTTGTTCTCAGTAAAAATGAAGGCTTGTGAAAAAAATTCTTAGCATCCTGTGGGGGGTTTTAGCAAGTTGCCCTCTAGTTTTATCTCAGTTATGGATTCCAATCTTTTGTTCAGTCATTTTACTCCAAATGAGTCTGAGTTCTGGTGTTTCTTATTACTTACATTTTCTTTCCAATTTATACTTTAATCTAATTCTACAGCAGGACACTTCCAGATGTTTATTCTTGTGAAGTGTTAAGTATCTTAAGCATATGCAGATCCTCTGACTTCAGCACCACAGAGGTTTTGCTCAGAATACCTTAGTATTTCTTGGAGATTCAGTTAGCATGTTCCATATAATTAGAAACATAATGCAATGATGGTGATTCTTGAGTTTTGCTTTTATTGGCATTTTTCATTAAAGAAAAAATAAACTCCTAAATGAGCTAAATCTAAGATTTTGAGGTTGGACATATATTTGGGATTATTTTTCTTTTTTTT